AGATAACAGGGAATGACTATACACAAGACAGGCAAGCACATGTAATGAGGTTCAAAACCGCTAACCATTAAGATCACAAGGAGGTATCACTACACATCTACTGGAATAGTTAATTTTAAAAAATGAAGAAATTTATAAAATGCTCACTAGGATTGGGAAAAGCTAAGTTTCATATACTACTGACAGAAATGTATAATATTACAGACACTCTGAGAATAGTTTCAATAAGTAACAATAAATAATAGGTATATGCTTACCACAAGATACAGCAATTATACTCACAGATATTTATGATGGAAACAGCATATGTCTGTTAGAATGTGCACAAATATAGCAACTATGTAGTAGCTCAAAACTGGAGACAACAGAAATATTCTTCCTAGGTAAGCACTTTAGCTGTGTTAAGAAGGGATGAATTATTGTTACACACAACGATGTGGACCATGTTGAGAGTAGCGTACTGAGTGAAAAAATGCCAGTCTGAAAGGTAAGAGTCCATTTATTCAGCTCTCTCCAAACGAGGAAAACAGAGATGGAGAGCAGAGTGGTGATGCTGGAAACCAGGGAGGGTGAGGCAGGTGCGCCGTGACTGTAAAGGGAGCGGGGGAGAAACGCTTGCTCTGCGGGACGGTTCTGTGTGGCGGGAAGGTGCTGGGCGCTGACTGCAGTGATGGTCACAGAGTCCACCTGTGTGATAAATGACCCTGAACTAGACATCCATGTGCTACCGATGGCCGTGTCCTGGGTATCGAGCCTCGGTCACATATGATGGAAACATCAGGAATAAGTGAGTGCTGCACAGTCTGCCCTGGCCAATTGTTGCATCTTCTGTCAGCCTGCACTTATCTCAGAACGAAATGTTTTTAAGGGCGTCTCGCACCAGCTAGGTGAGCTAGTGTTCATATCTCCCGGCCTAAGCTGTATTTCAGGGGAAGATTCTGAACCACTGTGGAGTACACTCCAGGAATTTCTTAAATCCAGGCTGTGCTTCTCTCCTTGTTCCTGGTGGATTGTGCTACCGGTCTCTCTGCTAACCAGGATTCTGAAGATGAATTCACTCCGAGAAAGTAGCAGCAGCGTAGAAAGTGAGCCTCAGCACAGGTGAGCTGGCAGCTTGCAGAGCCCGGGCATCCACAGGGAGAAAGCACCTCCTGAGTGCCCAGGATGGTCTCATTAGTACATCAAGCACTCCGGGAGGAGGATAATGAAGGAGGCTGTCCATAGGCGTCATGGCTGAAACAACAATACACAGGCAGGAATCACATTCAGACTCCCCAGAGATTAAAGGACCGATTACCAGGCTAGTAGTATTGTGTAGATCACTTCATGAAATGTGTAATAGAACACACTGTGAGATTTGGAAAAAACAAAATGCTTCTTTTCAGGAACCGCTGTCTTGGACCTCAAAGATGGATCCACACTGGCTTCCTTTCCTAGAGATTTTCTCATAATAAATAAAAGATAGTCCTTTACCCTCAAACACACTTTTGCTCTGTACCTTTCCAGATGGGGTTAAGAGAAAGCCAGACAGGTCTGTGATCCATGAGTTAAGTAGGCTTGTTTTCTTTAAGCCCCTCCTTATTGACATATTTAGGTTTTTAACGCAGAATCCAAGGAACTTTTCAAACTGTCCAGTAGAGGGAACCCTGATCTCGTTCGTAAGTTCCTATTTTGGTTACTCAACCTCTAACCCACTGCTCCTTGACCCTCATGATGAGAAAGGGGAATTAAGTACGGCTACACTTCAGCTTGAGGAAAAGCAGAATTCACCCCTTGCTTCAAATCAGATGTGGCATTATGCATTTGCACCACTGAGGCACAGTGACCAGTGGGCGGTCAGTGTGGGTCTCAGTGAGGGTGCACTGAAGGCAGGGACCACCACAGAGGCAACAACCAGTTCCTTTTAGAAAGGTAACAGTGGCCACAGAATGGAGAAAAGAAAATGTGACCATCCAAAATGTCAGCACTGACATGACCTGACACCAGCCAGATGTGTAGAAGATTCCAAGATTTTCAGCTCAGGCAGCTGTGGTGGTGGGTGAAGAATGACCTGTGTCCCTTTGAGCATCATGACAGTTGGCAAGCAGGTACCTTGTGCATGTACCTGTAACTCTGAAGGCAAATTAATTCTACCACCACTAACGATGCTCGTATGAGCATTACCAAGGCCACGGAGAATTCAGCCCTGCATCCAGAAGCAAGTATCCATGGATCACAAGTGTGGTCTTTAATTGGTATTTCTTGACAAGGTTGGTTGATACATTATTTCAATCTTTTCCTCACTGCTCTGAGGAGGAGTAGTTTTCAGTCCAGTGGGTTCACAATTCAGATTCTTATTTTTAGGTAGCTACCTAACAGATTAACTCACTTGCAATATAATACCTTCTATGTACTTTATTGATTTTTAACATTTTAAAATTGAATCAAGCTTATTACTTGATACACTAAAACACAAAAGAATTGTCTTGTGGTTGTTCTTCACTAGGATTTAGATGGCTTAAGGAGAATGAGGTTCTCTTGAGCTCACTGTGTGGTCACTGTACGGCAGCACTCACCCCGGTGCTGTCCGGCTGTTCTGCTGCATGTAGCTTTGAGCGGTGTCTCTTCCCTTTCCATGTGTTTGGAGCAAACCACAAGTTGTTTCCTGAGAAATACTGTGGCCTTTGCAGTAAAATCTTTTTGGATAGATTTTAAGGGTCAAACATATAAGGTCTGTTTCATAGGTGCCTTCCCTGCAGATTATTTGCATTCAATTGATACTCATTTGGGAGTATATAGGTAACACATAGTTAATATGTTTAAGCCCCTTGAAGATGCAGTTGGCTGAACTGATTTCAGGGAAAATTATATTAAGTTATATTTTCATCATCTGCTGGTTTCATAATAACTTTGTTCACACTGGATGTTCTATGTGATTTTATTTATTCTGTGAAGTATAATCAATTGATAACAAGAATAACAATCTAATATTTTTGTCTTAAATACTATGGAAATGGCCCAGTTTCAATGGTTGTTTGCTGCTTGTATTCTTTGGAATTTTTGTTACTTGATACTTTTTACTAATTCATTTATAGGAGTCTTACTTTTCCCCATCACGTAGTAAAACTTTGAACTACACTTTTTTTTTACATTTTGTTGTTTTCTAATAACCCCGTTTTAAACTTGTCTCCACTTATTATCCAGTATCTTTATATTATAAAACCCAGTAAGGTTTTGTTTTCTGCCTTCTAATTTCATAACATTAATTGTCCTTCCATTTTCCAGGGGAAAATTTGGCTAGTTTAGCTTCCCACTTGTAATGAAAAAATATTTTATTTTTCTTGTCATTGGCTTATCATAATTGAGTCAAATTTAGGCTTTTGGTCTTTCCTGTTACAGTTATTAAATCTGTGTCAGGCTTGTGATGTGAACAGTGGAGGATGACACATGGGGGACCCTCCTGCATACAGTGGAACAGGGCCTCAGGTGCAAGAGCTCAGTCATAGGACTGCAGTATCCAGGCTTCTCCCAAAGCGTGTTGCTTTGCTCAAGCACTTCCCGAGTGGAGTGTTTGGAGAGAATGGAAGAAGAAATCATACACAAACTAAAATCAAGCCAGAAGCACTAACTCCAAGTGCCTATTTGCTGTCCTGGCTACACCTCTTTGTGGGATGATTCTAACTCTGCTGGGACTCGCTGCTACCTTCAGTGGGCATTTATCATTGTCGCAGTAACTGAAGATTGATAGTGGGCAGGTGGACAGGAGCCTCTGTCCTTCCAAGTTTCAGAAAAGACCAGGCCACATGGACACTGGGTGAGACCCCTTGCAACCCAGCAGGTCCACGAGTGGGCTGAATCGTCCTGGAAATCTGGTGTCACTGCAGCCGGAGCCCACGCCACCCTAGCAGCTTCCCGACCCCTCTTCACTCCCACCCCCTGGCTCAGCTTTCTAAGTCTCCTGTGCTGTTCCACCAAGGGCAGTGACCACTCGTGAAGCTTTGATTGTACTTGAAAAACACAGGTACGGGTAAAAATATAGGTAAAGTTCGTGGGGCAGGAAGTAACCACCACCTAAGTATGCAGGGTATGAGGTTAAGCACCACGGGAGGGGCGCCAGCCAAGGCAGCACACGTAGCAACACTGCCAAAGTGCCACTAGGTGGTAGACAAAGTCCACCCTTGGCACTCACCTGGGGCCTCAGGTTTACCCTAAGAGTGGAATATGAGATTGGATTTCCTAATTCCAATCAGAGGACGTCTGGCCAGCAATGCTAATGCTCCACATCCACAGGACAGGTAATGACCACCGTGAATGTATGTTCATATCTTTCCATAAAACTGTCAGGTCAGTTGCCATTCCTTCACCCCAGGCCCCTGTACTCAAGGCTGACCAGTTATTTATTTAGACATTTCAGAAAGTTTCAGCTTACTCCCAGTGTGTATTAGGATGCACTCTTCCATCTGGGGAGCACCCCCTGTACTTCCACATGCCAAGGGCGCCCCTTCCCATCGCCCACCTTCATTTAGCCAATGCCACCCTCAGAAGGTAAGATTCCTGGCTCCTTAAAACCTAGGTCTCCCCTTCCCAGTCACAGCCCTGGGCATTTTAGAGGCATGTTCCCATTCCCATAGCAGTGTGCTGATGAAACTCACCTCAGAATTGCTAGACATCCCTATGGACCACACAAACTGACTGGCATCCCTTTGGGCAATGGTGCTCACCCCCTCACCTAAGAATACTAATGTCAATGTGAAGGACTATATAGAGGTGCAAATCAGATGATGTATGCAATACCCTTTTGATTCCGCCTCCCTGATTCGTGAAGTTTTACTTTTGTTTAATAGAAATCTTACATTTCACCACCCACCACAATTTCTACTGTGGAGTACTCTCCTGAAAAAGCAGTGCTGTCACCATGCTTTTTCTATCCTGCTAGTAATTTTGGTGCTCATGTGTATTTAGTGTGTGTGGCAGAACTTGGCACCCAATTTTTAACAAAAAAATTAGAATGAAGACAAACATTTCCATCTTATGCTGAAAGTATATATTTATATATAGTTATATAGATATAGATTTTTACTCTCCTGTAGACATTTTTTACTTATGAGTCATTTAAACAACCAAAGAACAACTTATTATGATTTTACATAAACTGTACCAGAATAAAGAGTTAGCTTGTCAGATTGATTCACAAAGCCAGCACAATTCTGATACCAGAAGAGAACAATCAGAACACAAAACCGAGAATCACAGATCTCACTTAAGGATACAGGTGCCAGAATACTAAGAGAACAGTAGCCAGTTGAAATCAACACCACATGAAAATATACAAAGCTTTGGCAGATACAAAATCAAATTTAAAATTCAAATCTACACACATACAGAACTGGAACAAAACACCAGAAACAAAATAAACCCCACACCCTGTCAGTGTCCTCTGGCCAGGGAACTAAAGGAACAAGAGTTCTATAACACCATTAGCGGGGAGGGCGTCTGCTGGTGGGGTCACCGGTATCACCGCTGGTGTCAGGCTCATCCTCATCTGAGACTTCAGACTCAAACTCTGCAAGTGCTTCAAGGTAATGAAACGGCCAGCACCGAGGATCTCTGTTATGGAGCTTAGCCAAAAATCTCAGGACCAGCATCTTGCTGGTTTCCAGGAATGCTCGGGGCCCCCAGAGCAACTCATATTCTGCTGGTTCAGTGCAAGGAATTCTCCTGTATTCTAGGTACCTGTGCCTCACAAACACTTCAGTGATGAGCTTCTTCATGTTTCCAAAGAGAGAATTTGTCTCCCGGACATCCAGCCCTAATCTGAACAGAAAATTAAAGATCAGATTCTCCCTGACACAATTGCCTTTCATAAAGATCAGACTCAAAACCACCATCAGGAGGCCAAACTTGGGCTTGTCTATAAAAGATGCCCACAAATCACACTGAGGGTGCCCCAGCTTGTTGACAATAACATAGGAGTGAGTATTGCTATCAATTTCCTTCAACTGACAACCAAAATTACACTCTAGCTTTGTGTTTGCACGGCTGATGATCTCTAAGTACTCATCTTTGTACTCTCGGATGATGACATTCACCATCTCTGAGCGCAGGATGGGCCCCTTGGCTCGGTCCCTGACCAAGAGAAACTGCACCAGTGCATTTGCTCTCTCTTCTAAAGGAGACAGCTGCTGAGTCTCCTCCATGGGATCCTCCTGGCTGGCCCAGTGTCTGTGAGACAGACATGGCACCTCAGAAACAGTGAAGGGCTGAGGGCTTCCTGAGCCTTCACAGTGACCCAGACCCTTAGAGGTGCTCGGGCCCTCCCAGGGACTCAGTGCCCAAGAGGTGCTAGGCTCTTCCCAGCCACTCAGGACCCTGGAGATATCAGTACCCTCCCAACCATTCAGGCCATAGGAAGTGCTCGGGCCCTCCCAGTCTCCCAGAACCTGGACAGAACTCTGGAACTCCCAATCACTCGGGCTAGAATTTTCCCAAGACCACGAGCCCTGCCACTCTCGTGAGGCCACTCTAGGCCCCCTGTTGTCTTCTTTGGGCTCCAGGTGCTTCTTCTTCCGGGTAACTTTGCCCGAGCGACGCGGTGGGTCAACAGTCTTAGAAGCCTCTGTGGCACTTGCCTGGGGGACAGCTTCTGTAGCCATCGGGATGCTGGAGGCAGCCTTAGATGACTTTGAGACATCCCCATTAGGCTGTAGCATCCACGGAGCTGCAGGCAGGGCTTCTATGCAGGGATATGGATCCTGCAGAGCAAGTGGCCGTGACTTTGGGCTCGCTGTGGTGGCAGATGGGCCTTTAAAGGCAGGCTGAAAGTGGGAGGTAGATGGAAACACCCTTGAGGTGGCATAGAAGGCGCCTGATGTGGTAGGCAAGTTTTTCCAGGCATTTGGCAGGTGTGCTCTGGAGGCTGACATTGCCCTTGGAGCACAGAAGGTGCCAGTAAAAATCATACGGTCCTTTGGAGGGCCCTTTTTCTCCTTTGAAGAGGTCCTGCGTTCTTTAGAAGAACCCTTAGGTTCTGAAGAAGAGGCCCTGCATTCTCCTGATGGAGTCAAGAGTGATTTAGCCTGGCCCCTGGGAAAATTTTCCCCTGCTACTGGGGCTCCTGGCGGCGCCTGCAACATGGTAGGTGGCCCTTGCCAGGATGATTGGAGTTGCATTGCCGGCATTTCTGCCTGCGGGCCCGTGGGCTGGGCCTCGTGGGTGGGTAGCTGAGTTTGCAGGCCTTTTTGGGAGGCCAAGGCCCCCCGAAAGGGCTGCTGCTCCAGCTGGACAATGCTGGGGGGCTGCTCCTGGCCCTCCTGAGCAGGTAGGGGCTGCCAGAAGTGAGTGGGTACCTTTGGTGCCTGCCAGGCCATTTCCTGGGCCTGCTGCACCTCCTGAAACTCCATCGACGTCGGCAGCTCATGTTGCACTGGGGATTGGCCTTTTGGGGCCTGCCAGATGATGGATGGGCACTGCACAGCCTGCTGGGAAGCCTGTGGTGCAGCCTGTGGAGCAGTCTGTGGTGCAGGCAGTGGAGCAGGCAGTGGAACAGACAGCGGTGTCGGCAGCACTGGCTGGGGCACCTGTGGGCCAGCACCTGGGCCTGCAGGTACCGGAGTAAGCATTGGTGCTGTAGGCACCAGTGGTGCCCCCTGCACCTGAGGGGCCAGCAACCGAGCCTGCGGGGCCTGCCGCAGTGGCGGTGGGGGTGGCAGGGCTTGCCAGAGCTGTGGTTGGGTAGCCAGGACCTGTGGTGCAGACCGAATGGGTGGGGGTGCCTGGCGGATCAGCGGTGGTGCCTGACGAATCAGAGGTGCTGCCTGGCGGATTACAGGTGCTGCCTGGCGTATCACAGGTGGGGTTTGACGTCCCACTGGAGGGGGACCAGGACGGATGGGTGGTGGGCCCGGGCGGATGGGTGGGGGCCCCTGCCGGATGGGTGGTGGTGCCTGCCAGGCTATGGTGGGGGCCTGCCAAGTGACCTGTGTGGCCTGCCAGGTCAAGGGCGTGGCCTGCCAGCCTTGAGGAGGCCCCTGCCATCCTGGTGCAGTTGCTTGCCAGCCTGGGGTTGTGGCCAGCTGCACCTGCGGGGTCGGTGGCCCTTGGGGAACCGGTGGAGGTGCCCTTATGACCTGAGACTGTATTTGCAGGATCAGAGGCTGACCCTGAGGGGCCCATGATGCCATTGGTTGAGTGGGAGGTGGCACAGTTTGAGCCATCGGTGCTCCTGAGACTGGAGGCTGGGTGATTGGCGCTCCTGCACCCGAAGGATGGATCATCAGGACACCAGGACCGGGAGGCTTCGCCATCGGTGCTGCAGAAGGTGGAGGCTGTGACATCAAGGCAGCTGGAGGTAGAGGCTGGGCCATTGGAGCTCCCGGAGCAGGTGGCTGGACCATCAGGACTCCTGGCGTCAAGGGCTGGGCCATCAGGACTCCTGGAGCTGGAGGCTGCGCCATCGGTGTTCCCGGCGGTGGAGGATGCGCCATCGGGGTCCCCGGTGGAGGAGGGTGTGCCATCGGGGTCCCCGGCGGCGGTGGAGGCACCATCGGAGTCCCCGGAGGAGGAGCATGGGCCATCGGGGTCCCCGGAGGAGGAGGGTGGGCCATCGGGGTCCCAGGAGGGGGAGCATGAGCCATCGGGGCCCCAGGAGGAGGAGGGTGGGACATTGGGTTCCCCGGAGGAGGAGGGTGGGCTACAGGGGCTCCAGTAGCAGAGGGATGCACCATCAGAACTCCCGGGGCGGGAGGCTGGGGCATCGGGGCTCCTGGAGGAGGCGGAGGTTGAACCATCAGGACTCCAGGCGTCGGAGGCTTGCCCATGGGACCCCCCAGCGGAGGAGCCTGGACCAGACCCCCTAGGGCAGGAGGCTGGACCAGTGAAGCCACCGGGGCTGGCAGCTGGCCCTGTGGAGGCTCCCAGGCAGGCTGGGGTGCCTGCCAAGCGGCCAGGGATGCCGCCTGCAAGTCCATTGGAGGAGGATCCCAAGGGACCGGAGGAGCCCGAGAGGAGGCAGGCGGGGCACGCATCAGAACCGTGGGGCGGCTATAGACAGGCGGCTTGGGGGCCTCTGCGGGAGGGCTGGAGTCACCCAGGTTCTTACTTAGCTGCGACATGTCCCTTGGCTGACAGCTGGTGGGTCTCCTCCTCCGACAGCTGCTGGGCTTCCTCCAGAGAGCGGAGAATGCCTACGTGGCTGAGCTCCCTCCCGGCCGAACGCTGAATAGGAAGTGAGCAGCTCCTGCAGCCCGCAGCAGCTCTCCGCAGTGAGCAGAGGGGGAGGGGGGCTGTGCCGGCCACGCCCCCGACCACCGCAAGTGGATGCTGCAGAGGGGCGTCCTCCAGCAGGGCCAGTGCCCTAAGGCAGTCTCTGCTTCAGCCGCTGCGCTCCCGGAGTGACAGGAACAGATTGATGAGATAGAAAAACCCCGGCGCCGTAATCCGAGTGGTCACAGACCACTGGAAAGGAGGGAGGAATTCAGAGGAGGGGAGATGGTCTGGTCTGAGCTCGGAGGAGACGGAGACGCTGACGTAAGAGAGGCTGGGGGGTGAAAGAGACAGCTATGATTCAGTGCAGGAGTAAAAAGATGAGGAGGTGGCAGGTAAGGGGCTGGCAAGAGGCAGAAGTTACCTGGGTAGAGGCAGGGAGATGGATGGAGCAGATACCAGAGATGCTCTGTCCAGACTGTCCCGACGCAGTCTGAAGACAGCTGAGCTGGAGTCCGGCGGGCTGATATTTATGAGAGCGGAGCTGGGGGAGTGACCAGGCTGTCAGAGGAAGTGTACTTAGAAGGAAACCTCTGACACACGTCTGGAAGAATTCAGGCATGTTAGAGACAAGCAGAAAATGTGCATAACAAAAAACAGAGAGGGGAGGAAAGCAACCTTGGGCATGAAAGTGTGTCCCTTATCAGAACAGCAAGCCTTTGTAATGCAGGGAAAATGTTTGTGATAACAGAGATGAAGGCAGTCAGAAAAAAATACTTTAGAATGCAAACCAAGGTGTTTACAGCAATACAGTAAAGGGACAACTTAATACATTTCTATAGATTTTCCTTTTTTATTCTTTTTTTAATTTTCATACACTTGTGAAAAATAGATGAAAGAGAAGAGACAAAACCCTGGGAATTCTCATGAATTAAAATATCAGAGTTAAAATGAGACATGGGATGCATGAACAGGTGAAGCAGAAACTATTAAAATTTTTTGGTAACAGGATACTGTTTTTGCCTGAAGTGAATTCAATCTCACTTTTGTTGGCCAGTTTTCTGGAAATACACAACGTGATAAATATTAAGGGTGTTTTTATAGAAGAGGTTTTTGCAACCTGGGGCAAGAGTCCAGAATGAGGAAAAAAGATGCCACAAGAGGGCAGAGTAGGACACTGAAGCCTACACCCCGCCGCTCCTAAGTGAAACCCTTGGCCAGGGTCCTGGAATTTGGTAACCTGTGGACTCCAAGGAAGGCAAGTGCGTGTTCCCGGCAGTGCTAACCCTTAAATCATGAGAGGAGAATCCTAGGTGAGGTCTTGGCTTTATGGCCACTGTCAGGATATTCAGCAACAACTTCTTTTCCTAGGCAGTGCCTGGAGTGCCTGGGGATATGTTACTCCTGTTTTTACACAGAAGGCTGCCTGCTGAGGGGTGTGGGGTTCAGATCACAGACAGCTGCTTCTGCAGATGAGGATCCACATGCCCCCCTGTCTTCCACTCCCCCACCTTGGTGCACAGCCCTGGTTGCTATAGGAGGTCCCTGAGAGCGACCACCTCAAAACTCATAACCTTCATAGTCCTGCATTATCAGCTTTGCCAAATAGACCTTTCAGATTGAGAATAGTTTTAGGAAAATAAGTTGATTTTTTCAAACTGTGACATTTCAACTCTCATTAGAGCATATTTGTTTTCCTGAGGTATAAATGTATACATAAATCAGAGATTAAGCTCTCCTACTAATCATAATTGTGACAAGTTTGACATTCAGTCCACCAGGTTGTGGGTCATTCCCCTGCATAAATGGCTACCAGTAGGACCTGGTTATTCTCTCTGGTGCTGAACCTCAATGAATAGTACCACTGCATGATGTCAACTCCCACCAAATCCCTTCCACAAAACACCCCCATATTGTATCAACAGGCAACACATAAGCCATAAAGAAAGGATTAGGAAGTTTTCAAGAGAACAAGGGAAACTATGTAGGTGTAATTATAAATGAAAGGCAAACAACTCATAATCAGCACCTGTCCCACTCCCTGGCAGTATTCTTTAATTAGAAGAGGAAAATCAGGGATTAAGTACTCAGTCATTCGGGAGGGGCTAGTAAATGTAGGTACACTGAATTTATTCTTGCTGGAAAATATATTTCCTCATTTTAGGCAATCAGTGCTCTCAGACCCCAGACTTTTGAAAAAGTTATAAGATGTATGAATTATTTACCTCCAATATCAGATATGCTGGAGACCGAGGGACATACAACCCCTTTATGGAAACCTGAAACCTTAAAAATAGCAAAACCTAGTATGTCCTGAGTGTAGAGAGACATTTAGACTACGATTTCTAAATAGGTCTCTAAACCCTTCTATTTATCATGAAATCTTCTAGCTTCCTGAAGCATACATCACCCCCATGGCATATAATTCCTCATACTCCTCCAAACTTTTGAGCCACGTATTGTCACAATTTACTCTTTTTGCTTCTCTATGAAACAGCTTGAACATTTGAGTAGAAACAAAAAGGAAAATAAACACAAAGTGTTTGTGGAATGCTGGCATATGTTTGCCTCTAACTAAAAGAGACTCTCAGGGACTTATGTGACTATGCCTTAGAACAGAATCACAGGAGTAGGAAATGGGGGGACAGGAGCTCAGCTTTTTTATTTCTTGCATCTGGGCTCACACTGGTGATCAGTTAGGAGCTGTGGAGGGAAGGTATGTCACAGAGCTGCCTTTTCTTCATTCCTACATAGCTGTTAGACTTGCTGCAACTGCTTGCAAGTGGATAAAATAAACACCTCTAGTTTTCATAATTCTAAAATCACTTATTTATGAAACACCTTTTGTTAAACAGTCATTAGATGCCCAGCACTGTGCTATCTAGAAATCTGCAGAGAAAAATCTAATGCTAGATCTATTGTTCACTACACTGAGATATAATATGATTTTTTTACTATAATAAGGTGCTACTGATGCATTGTCTAAAGCCCATATTGGCCCTAGTTGACGCAGATGATGGAGTACTCACTTCTGTGTGGAACATAAATGCTGGGGGGCTGATGCTCTGATTGTACCAGTGAAAAGAAAATAATTCAAAGCTGTGTAAGGCTCTTGAGCATTTGCACACGGATAGGCTGAGCAGAAAAATAAACAAAGGATGGGAGATAACAGACATAAAAGGCATTTGAAAGAGGTATTTTGCAAGGACTTCATTGAAATAAAAGCAGTATTTATTGCATACTAATTATTAAATAAAATGCTGTCTTTGGAGTTGTGCATATGCTATTTATTAATTCCTTACAAAATCCTTAAGTATTTGCTCTCATTTTACATGTCAAAAATTGAGGCTCAGAGGGGTAATGAATTCACTTAAAATTTGGCAATAGATAGCAGAATCTGTGTATAAAATTAGTCTGTTCCTTGTCAAAAGCACCATTATTAACCATTATACCAGTGCAGCCAAAAGATTTTTAAAAATTTACATGTACTAACATATATTTAAAGTGTTCATTTTAATGAGATGTACCATCAATTAACCAATGCTCAAAATGAGATCAATGATATTTTTGTTTTAAAAGAAAGTTCTTGCTTGACTTTTGCTTACGTTTTTCTAACTTCAAAATCAAACACCTCTTAGGCTTGGTGCAGTGATGCACATCTGTAATCCCAGCACTTGGGAGGCTGAGGCAGGAGGATTGACAAGAGTTCAAGGCCAGCCTGGGCTACATAAGCGAGCTCAAAGCCAACTTACTCTACATAGTGAGGGTCTGCTTTAATTTTTCTTTAAAGAGAAAACCCTTTTAATTTCTCACCACTGATTTTTTTGCCTGATCTTGAATTTCATTAAATACAGTCTGTATACTATCTGATTTTTCTCTGTCTAGAGTCTTTGTTGTATATTTTTGAAATGTGAATATTTTTCATGTATTAGAATCCTGCTCTTTTGATTCTATTTAGTACTCCGTAATTTATTCCCTTTTGACATTTGAGATAATGACAATCTAGTGATATTATGAAGATATGTCTGCTTTTAAAATTATCTTGCAAGTCTTTGCAAACACATGTTTTCATTTACCTTAGGTAATTGACTAGGGTTGAATGGCTGGGTCATAGGGTAAATGTTTGTTCATAAGAAATTGTGACAATCTTCCCTAGTTAGGCTAGGCCATGTTTCACTCTCAGAATACAACAGAATTGCAAATCTTTCACAACTTTAAAAACTTTTAAACATTATTAATGCTTTAAATTTGGTCATTCAAGTGAGTATGAAATGCTGATTGTATAATTTTATAATCCACTTAGCAAATATGAGAATTCTAATTTTGTCATCTATTTATTGAAACTGATGTTTTTGTCACTTTTTTGGGACACTTCTGTGGATAAGAAATGGTGTGTCATTGAGGGGTTTTGTGTTTACTCTTTTTAATTAACAGACTGTTTTTGGAGCATGTGTTGGTCACTTTTCTCTTGTTGCTGAGATAAAATACTTCATGCCAAAAATGAAGGAAGGAAACATTTACTTAGTTTCTGCCTCATGGAGATGTCAGTCCATAATCAGCTGACTCTAAGGCAAGGTGATGTGGCTAATGGACAGCATTCATAGTGGCCACAAACAACAAGAGTGAGAGGACCGACAGGGAAAGCAGGCCTCCTTCCCTCTCATACTGAGGCCAGCTACCTGACCCTGGGCAGGTGCAGCACCCACATCACCAATCTCAGTGCTAGACAACGAACTAACCACGGACACTAGATTCAGCTGCCTGCATGATTTCATGAGGCTTTGAGGGGACACTCTACTTTCCAAAGTCTCATGCACATCCTTTAAGCAAAAGACAATTAGCTCATCTTCAAAGTTGCTAAAGTCCTAACAGTTTCAGCATTGCTGAAAAGTCCAATGCCAAGACCCTTCTGAGATCTAACGCAAACTGTTAGCTGTGAGCCCCCTGTACAAGTGAAGCACAGTTAAACACTTCTAACATTCGATAGCACAAGGTAAACATTTCGAAGGGTGTAAACAGGAGGATATAAAGGAATGGTACCAAAGGAAGTCCAAAATCCAAGAGGGCAAATATTAAGCCCTGTAGTTCCACATTCAGCATCTGAAGCAATCTATTTGTGAGCCCCAAAAGGCTTGAGTGACTTCACCCCCATGGCACTTAAGGTGGTTGAAGTTCCTGTGACTTCTCTCTTGGGCTGGCTTTGCTCCTTCTTGCTGGATTCCTTAGCTAACCCACACTCCTCACTTTTCCAAACGTGTGTGGCCTCCACTCCACCTTTGCTTCATACTGACAGCATCACACACTGCCATTCCAGAGGAACACTGCCTGGCCCCTCGGGTCTGAAACCAGGGTGACAGCTGCCTCAGCCTCAGAACCCTGGCATTCTGTACGCACCTAAGCGAGTGCCATGTGGATGATGCCAAGGTCCACTGTCAGCTGGAGCAGTAGCCAGAGTTTCCTCTCTCTGATTGTGAGAAGTAAATTCTCTACTCCACTGCCATTCTAGAAGCTGGAAGCTCCCACTGGGGTTGGTGTTGCCATT